ATCAGAGCAGGACGAGGAGGAGGCACTGCCGGCTTAGAAGACTCTCCTTTCAGTAGGAATAAGTTCATTAAAAGTTATTTTTCATTATTTATCAAATAAGTGACCCATAAATACAGCCTCCTTATAAAAGATTCAGTTATGTAAATAATGGGTTTCTCCCACTCTCCCCAGAGGTAAAATGCTATCACTGTACTGACATGTAACTTCACAATCCCATTTCTGTGCAGTTGTAGACCACGTGTGTATATTATATACATGATGGCTTATGTGAAGATATTCATAAGCTTTTCGCAAGAATGTGTCAAGGACACCTTCCATGTCAGTGCATAAAAGTCTCTACCTCATTCATTTTATTTTATTTTATTTTGAAAAAAAAGTTTTTGGAAGTATAGTTGATTTACAATATTATATTAGTTTTAGGTGTATCATATAGTGGTTTGAAACTTTTATAGTTTATACTTCATTTAAAGTTATTACAAAATGTTGGCTATATTCTCTATGCTGTACAGTATATTCTTTTAACTTATTTATTTTATACATAGTAGTTTTTACCTCTTATGCCCCTCCCCCCTTCCCTCTCCCCCCTGGTAACCACTAATTTGTTCTCTATGTTTGAGTCTGTTTCTATTTTGTTATATTAGTTTGTTTCATTTTTTAGATTCCACATATAAGTGGTAACACAGAGTATTTAGTACTTGTCTTTTTCTGTCTGACTTATTTCACTAAGCATAATATCCTCCAGGTCCATTCATGTTGTTGCAAACGGCAGAATTGCATTCTTTTTCATGGCTGAGTAATATTCCAGTGTGTGTGTGTGTGTGTGTGTGTGTACGTGTGTGTATACACACACTCTCTCTCTCTCTCGTCATGTATCCACGTCTGTGTCTTACTGGAGAGCCGGCTCTCAGGCCTCTCCCTCATGCAAGTGCAACACTCACTCTGGAATGGTCAGTTGGGCAGATGCACAGAGTCAGCTCAAACACATCGAAGCAGCATTTGACCAGGAGGCTGCAGCGGTCCTGATGGCACGGCTGGGAGTGTTCCGAGCGGAGTCAGAGGAAGGGCCGGATGTTCTCCGGTGGCTGGACCGACAGCTCATCCGACTGGTAAGCTAGGGACAGTGGCACTATGTTCAATCTTGGTCTCTGCTCTACTTTTGAGAAAACTGTTGTTTAAACCTATTATTTTATACAGCCAGTAAATAAGAATTGTATCAGTGGCTTACCTCATGCCAAACACCAGACGTTCTGAGAATGATGTAAAAGAAGTGTTAAATATGCACCTGCCCCAAGGGCTCATGTTACAGTTGGGAAGAAACACCACACACAGGCCGTTTAGGTAATGGTACAAATCTGAGTGTGTTGAGGGTTGACTTAGATGAGTCCCTGTGTATCCTGTGGTTCTCTGTTTTCCCTCTAGATCTTGGAGGGTTTGGGGGGAAGTAGGGATCCATGGCCCAGTGAGTGTGAGGAGATGCCTGATGTGTCATTCTGGGTCTAATCAGGAGAGAGAAGCCACGCGGTAGTTTAAACGGGGGGAGTGTTATATAAAGAATTAGAATAATGAGGGATTGGCTAGTAGGAGGTAAAGAGAAGTCTGAGGGATACAGGATAGTAGATCTGAGGGGTGCTACTTCCGGCTGAGGTACAGCACCCCAGCAAGACCCACATCCCCCCAGGGCTGACGGAGCCCCGGGTGGGGCAGGGCCATGGCTCATTGGGTCTCTTAGAGCAGAGATGTTGCCGTGGTGCCTGCTGGAGGGACTTAGTAGAAATTCACCCTCTGAGGCGCCGAGAAAACTGTTCACCGGGAGGCATCTCAGCAGGGGCACGCGGGACTGGGGGGCTGCAGGCGCCAGTGCTGCGTGAAGATGCTGCAACCATCCGCTGACCAAGCCTAACGTAGTGCCCTGGCAGGGGAAAAATATTTAAGGGCCCCAGATCCATCTCACAGCCAGTGAAAAGGGTAAGTTTGGAGACACGAAGCAATAAATCAGTAATTGAGATACCTTATGATCTTACCGTTTAGAAATTCACAGCACGTGTTAGTGATCAAAGCTCCTGAAAAGCACAGTAACAAAACTTATTTAACTTTGTTTAGCCCTATGTGTGCCCTTGCTGTCCCACAGAATCATTTTTTCAGGGAATGTCAACATTGCAAATGTAATTTGAAGTTGAGCAGAGGGTCCAAGTGGTTGGCGAAGGCTTCTGGTGGGAAGTGAGCCTTGAGTCAAGTCTTTTTAAAGAGAGTAGAAGGCAAGGCTTGTCAAGTGGAGGGCCCAGCACCCACAAGCCTGTGGGGTGTAGCTGGGCATTCAGTTCATGCTGGGGACCCTGGAGAGGCCGCTGTCACGGGTGACCAGCGACTATGGTGGGGGAGCAGCAGTGCAGGTGCAGGTCGCTTGAGCAGTGCCTTGACTGTAAAGTGAAGTCTCTGCCTGGGTATTAGAGAGAGAGGGGAAGGGTTAAGTGTGGTTCTTAGGCAGGGGCGTGAGAGCAGCATGACACTGTGTTCACACTGGGTTCACTGTCCCTGTATAAGATAAATCGGAGGGCAAAAGGGCTGCTGTTACAGAGGGCAGCAGAGGATTTCGCCGGCTCCAGGGAGCTGAGACCAAGGTGGCAGTGGTACAGTTGGAGGGAAGAGAAGCTTTGGAATCAGGCTGTATGCCGAGAGAAGAATTGACCAAACTTGGTCGAACTATATGTAGAATCAAAAATGAAAAACATTGGGCTTCCCTGGTGGCGCAGTGGTTGAGAGTCTGCCTGCCGATGCAGGGGACACGGGTTCGTGCCCCGGTCCGGGAAGATCCCACATGCCGCCGAGCGGCTGGGCCCGTGAGCCGTGGCCGCTGACCCTGCGTGTCCGGAGCCTGTACTCTGCAATGGGAGAGGCCACAGCAGTGAGAGGCCCGCGTACCGGAAAAAAAAAAAAAGAAAAACATCAACGCTAACTCAAGTTTTAAGTGTGGACAACTGCAAGAATGATGGAGCAGTGGGAAACAGAAAAGGAGAGCAGCTGTGAGGGGGGAGGGAGGGGAATCCCCCTTTTCTAATGTACTAGTTTAATTTATTTTGAATGTGAACTTGCATGTCCAAGGAAAGCCACCCTGTAGTTAGGATAGGTCCTGACAGGAGCTCGGGTCGGAGGTCAGCCCTGCATGTGGGGGAGGGATTTGGGTGACTCTGGCCTGGCCATCATGTCGTGTGTAGCCAAGGCAAGGAGGATGGGAGCAGAGGGCCAGGAACTAACCTCGGAGGAACCCACCGTCGTCAGGAGGAGGTAGGGAGATGGGCTGTCGGATGAGGCAAAGATCAATTGGAGAGGTGACAGGATGTAGGAAGGCACTGCTGCAGCGGCTGAAGGAGAGGGGTCAGGAGGTTCAGGGAGTCACGTGTCTCGTGGTGGCAGGGAGTTGAGGAAGGTGAGGTCTGTGCAAGGATGCGGTCGGAAGAGGGTCACTCCCAGAGATGAGCTCTCTTTAGATGGTGGGCATCTGCCTCCCTGGTGAAATGAAGTATGACATGAAGAGGAAGTAAAGGCAGGAAGAGGAAACGTTCAGAGATTTGCCTGTGAGAGGAGGAAGAAAATGGAGTTGTAGAATAATGGAACATTAGGCCTGTCTGTAACTGCAGGATGTCAGAGTCCTGGAGGATTTTCTTATGGAAGAGGCGCCTGAGAAGGCTTCTCTGGCCCCTCGCTGTCGGAGCGGCCTCGGCCGGCATCGCCTGGAAGCTGCTTAGAACGTGGGGCCTTCAGCACCGCCCCCCCAGATCTGCATTTAACATCCCCTGGGTGTTGGGGGGGCGCTGGGCTGGAACTCAGGCAGGCAGAGGCAGAGCTGAGAGTGGGGCATGGCCCTCCTACTCCAGGGAGTTCTCAGGTGACACTCACTTAGGTTTTTTGTGTGTTATTTTTTTTTCTATTTTCTCTCAATAGTGTCAGAAGTTTGGACAATATACCAAAGAAGACCCCGCATCTTTTAGGTTATCAGATTCCTTCTCTCTATATCCTCAGGTAAGTAATAGATGTTTTTTTAAAATAACTAAAGAAGGAAGTGATAGAAATAAAACTCGCTGCTCTCGGGGTCAAGTCAGGACTCTGTGTTTTGAGACTCCATTTGGAGGTGATGAGGTCATTCAGTTCAAGGCCAGACAGTGCCTGAGCCCAACGGAAGACGCAGGTGACAACGCAGAGAGCAGGTGCACAGGTTTTGGGGAGAAGGCAAAAGGATTGTTGCTGTGAGGCCACGACACGACCTCTGATTTGTAGAAGTTCTGGGTGGATGGTCACCCGTGAACATGAACGCAGCAAAATGAGACCGCAGTTACCATGGTAGACGTTGACGTGTCTGTAGTGGCTGTGCTGCGTTGTGACTGTGAAGACCTGCACGTGGCGGGGACCAGGTGTGTGGAACCCTTCGGAGCCGGGAGGGGGTGGTGGAGCGAGGCACCACAGGCAGGGGTCTGGGTGCTGCCTTTTCTGAGCCTCCACCCTCGTCTGTAAGTGTGGCAGCTGGGGCTCAGCTCCGCTTCAGGGGCGAGGCTGGCTGACCCCGGGTCCGCTGCGGGCCAGGCACCCATTTGGCTTGGCGGCCAGGAGCCAGCTCCGCAGCTGGGCCTGGGGTGTGCGGGTCGGGGCCCTTACAGATGCAGCTTTCCTAGAACTGGAGGCAGACTCAACCTTTTCCCCCTCCTCCCTCAAGGATGCCTTAATGAGGAATAAGTAGGAAGAAGCAAACTCTCAATCTTAAGTGAACTTGTTAGGACTTTGGTACTCCATCGGGTATTACCTTTTTGAATACACAATTTGGCAAGTGGACGCAGGCCTCAGTCGTGAACTTGTACAGCTTGGACTCAGGGCTAAATTAGGGGGGCTTCAGAGGTCACCTCACTGGACGCTCAACCCAGGGTAGGGCTCTGCAGTCCCCGCCGTGTGCCTGTCTGTCCTGTGCCCGAGCGGTTGAGGCTGGACGGCGCTGTGGAAAGAGGCCAGGACCGGCCAGGGTCAGGGCTGAACTGGGTTCCAGTGTTGGCTGTGTTGCTGCCGGTCTTGGATGAGGTCCCGAACCTCTTCAGAAGGATGGAGTTGGTCTGGGAAGTGGCATGCAGTCTTTCTAAAGCCAGGGAATCTTTTCTTAAAGAGGAGCCTCTCAACAGCACAGAAAGCAGACAGACGTGGTGACCTGCACCCCTGGGCCCTGAGGATCCGCTAAGGCTCAGAGGGCAGTTTGAAAACCACCAAATTTAGATGATTTCTTAGATTCCTTCTGTTGAAGCGTCTAGCATAGAGGTCCAGAGCCAGGCAGCCTGGAGCAGAGGCCGGCTCTACCGCTCAGTGGCGAGGGGTGTTGGGCAAGTTGCCTGCCCCTCTGTCTCCTTGCCTGTGAACTAGGGGTGGTAAGAGAGCTTTCCCCGTGGCTTGTCGGGGGGCTCGATCATTTTTGTCCAGTGCTCTGTGCCCTGCATGTAGGATGTGCCGAGTGTCAGCCTGGGTCATAATTTAGGAACCTACAATTCATTATATTTAAAAGCTTCTCAGGAAGCTTTGTTTTATTTTCATCTGCATTGGGTCTTCAGAGCTGCACACGGGCTTTCTCTAGTTGTGGCGAGCGGGGGTTACTCTTTGTTGCGGTGCGTGAGCTTCTCATTGCAGTGGCTTCTCTTGTTGTGGAGCACAGGCTCTAGGCGCGCGGGCTCAGTAGTTGTGGCTCGTGGGCTCTAGGCGCACAGGCTCAGTAGTTGTGGAGCACGGGCTTAGTTGCTCTGCAGCATGTGGGATCTTCCTGGACCAGGGATCAAACCTGTGTCCCCTGCATTGGCAGGCGGATTCTTAACCACTGTGCCACCAGGGAAGTCCCTCTCAGGAAGCTTTGTACTTTTCAAGGCAGGTCATTTTCATCTTCTGGCAGCTCTTTAGTGTGAGCTAACAGCTGCTCTCCCGCCTCTGCTCCTTGGGGGCTGGAAGGAATGCATCTCTGTCTGCAGTGGCGACTCCTGGCCTTTTCTCCCTTGAGCTCCTCACTCCCAGCGCTCTGCCTCTGTCTCAGCACTGTGGCCTCTCCTGTGCTGTCACTGTGCCTGGCGTCCCTCTCCTGCCTCTGGCTTCTTCTCGCACGTCTTTTAGGCCCCAGTGGCTTTGGGGACGCTCCTGCTGCACCTCCACCCCCACCCCATCATACCAGGACTTTCCTGCGCTGGAGCCCTGAGTGCGCCTTTTTGCCACTGGACTGTGACCTCTTCAGAGCAGAAACTCTGCTCTGCGACCTGGCCCGGTGACTCCAGAAAGCAGTGCTTTGTCTTGCCTCTTTCATGCAGAAGCTTTGACATGCCCAGAGGGCCCCCTCTTTTTCTAAAAATTATGTTTATTTCTAATTGTAGTGAAAACCCCATAACATAAAATTGACCACCTTAACCATTTTTAAGTGTGCAGTGTGGTGTAGTGTTACGTATGTCTGATTGTTGAGCAGGGAATCTCGAGAACTTTCTCATCTCCCAAACCTGAACTCTGTACCATTAAACAGCAGCTCTCCCCTCCCTCCTCCCCGGCCCCCAGGCCTGCCATTCCACTCTGGTTCATTGAACCCAGAGGCCTTGTTCCTAAGGGCTGGGTTCTCCTGTTTCCAGGGCAGGGGCAGGTCTGCTCTCTGGGTGTCTAGGAAGGTGACAGCTGTGTGCATTTGTCTTTTTCTCTGTAAATGCAGTTCATGTTCCATCTGAGGAGGTCTCCGTTTCTTCAAGTCTTCAACAACAGCCCTGATGAGTCGTCGTATTATCGACACCACTTTGCCCGACAGGACCTAACCCAGTCCCTCATCATGATCCAGCCCATCCTCTATTCCTATTCCTTCCACGGGCCTCCAGAGGTAAGGGCCGCTGTGAGTGCTTCTCCCACAGTTGGAATCACCTAATATAGACATTTTTCTAGCACGTTTACTCTTAGAGCAAAACTGTAAAAAAGAAAACTTCAAGTCTTTATAGTAATTTAACATTATTTCTGAGTATTAAAAAAATGTGCATAGGAAAAAGTCATAGGACGTGTAAAATTAGAAAACAATTTAAATGTTCAATAGCAGGAAAATTAAGTAATCTAAGAAATATTCACAAAGTTTATGTAACATAATAAAGTAAATCCTTATGTTAAATTAAAAAGTAGAAACTTTTCTAAATTATGACTTTTTGAAAGCCTGCAAGAATGAAAAACTGTAAGGAAATAAACCAAAATTTCAATATTTGTTGTTCTTGAGTAGAAATTTTCAAATTTTGCTTAATGAATGTAAGTTTAAGTTACTTTGCTTATTGAAATAAAAGTCGTAGTCAAATGTATTTTGTAGGAAACTTTAAAATTTGTATTAAAGGATGTTCTTTTTCATGTAGGCATTGGAGTTCTCTGTCATCTACAGCAGTAGATTTGAGAGAAATGTGTCTCTGATAGAATATATTTCTAGCACAAAACTGAGAAAACTTGGAATTATTTCTGGTTCCTAGCGCAAAATATAATAACATTCATCTCACTTCCCAGTTGTTGAGGGATTATTTGGAGCCTGTGTTTTCTACAAAGTTGAAATCTAGAACTGCCTAGTCAGGGAGCAGAATGTGGGAATTTGGCATGAAGATGAGACGGTCCCTGCTGGGTGTGGGGTTGGCGGGTGGCCGTGTGGACACCAAGGGAAGACCCATGCCATCTCTCCCTTTTGCTTCAGCCTGTGCTCCTGGACAGTAGCAGCATTCTAGCTGACAGAATTTTGCTGATGGACACATTCTTCCAAATTGTCATTTATCTTGGTGAGGTAAGATGAAGTTAATTTCTTTCTTAATATCATTTTTTACTAATTTACTAATTTTATGACATTTAAAAAAAGAATTTGGGCTTAGAAAACCCACAGTTTATTATAACGAGTATAGTGGCTTTTATGCTAGTGAATAAAATTTTTTTTCAGGACCCGGAAAAAAGGTGGTATTTGTATATTTAGTAATTTTAATATTACTTGCTATATTTAAACGTCAGGTTGTCCTTTTATTTTTTTTAATTTTTATGCAGCTTTTTTTTGTTTTTTGGCCATGCTGCAAGTCTTGCGGGATCTTAGTTCCATGATCAGGGATTGAACCTGTGCCCTCGGCAGTGAAAGCGTGGAGTCCTAACCACCAGGGACTTCATTTCTTATATATACACTTTTTTTTTTTTTTTTTTTTTTCGGTACACGGGCCCCTCACTGTTGTGGCCTCTCCCATTGCAGAGCACAGGCTCCAGATGCGCAGGCTCAGTGGTCATGGTTCACGGGCCCAACCACTCCACGGCATGTGGTATCTTCCCAAACCAGGGCACGAACCCGTGTCCCCTGCATCGGCAGGTGGATTCTCAACCACTGCGCCACCAGGGAAGCCCTGGAATATCTTTTTCCATCCCCTCACTTTCAGTCTGTATGTGTCCCTAGGTCTGAAGTGGGTCTCTTTTAGACAGCATATGCACAGGTCTTGTTCTTGTGTCCATTCAGCCAGTCTATGTATTCTGTTTGGAGCATTTAATCCATTTACATTTAAGGTACCCGCGTCTCCTGCATCGGCAGGCGGACTCTCAAGCACTGCGCCACCAGGGAAGCCCTATACACTTTTTAAAGGTTGCTTTTCTCATGTTGTACAACACATCCTTGAGCCAGTAGTTTGTACCTCCCACTCCCCCACCTGTATATACACTGCCCCCGATTCCACAGACCACTCGTTTGTTCTCTGTACCTGTGAGTCTGCTTGTTTTTTGTTACATCACTAGTTATATTTTTCAGATTCCACATGTAAGTGATATCATACAGTATTTGTCTTTGTCTGACTTATTTCACTTAGCAGAATACCCTCTAGGTCCATCCATGTTGTTGCAGATGGCAAAATTTCATTCTTTTTTATGGCTGAGTAATATTCCATTTATATATCTACCATGGTTTTTTTATCCATTCATCTGTTGATGGACACTTAGGTTGCTTCCATATCTTGACAATTATAAATAATGCCACTATGAAAATTGGGATGCATGTGTCTTTTCAAATTAGTGTTTTTGATTTTTACGGATATATACCCAGGAGAGTAGAATTGCTGGGTCATATGGTAGTTCTGTTTTTAGTTTTTTGAGAAACCTCCATACTGTTTTTCAGGTGGTCCTTTTAAATCACTATGATTTATTGCTTTCTGAGTTGTCAGGCAAGATCAGTTTACTTTTCATCAGTAAACTTTTTATATTCACACTGTCCTTTCAGAGTTATGTTAGAGTCACTAGTAAATACTGCTAAGTTTGCGACTAGGGTTTTTTGTCTGAGATAATGTGGCCAAGTGAACCTTATGCCAGGTCTGTGGATCCCTAGGATGGCTATGGATGGTGTTCAGGGCAGCATGCATTTCTTTCTCAAAGAGGTTCATACCCTAAGGAAAGGAATGGCTCCTCAGGAGAAAATCCTTTAACTGAGTGTTATATTCATGGATATACTCTCTTTTTTGTCTATTGTACATTTTTTACCTTTAGTACATTGCTTTGACAACTGACTTGACTTCCTGGTGTCTGTACGTTAGAAGTGATTTCAGATGTCCTGAAAAGATGTAAATTGTGTTTAAGTATTCTTTAATGCCCTAGAAAGAAATGGTTTTTCTAATACTAACAGGCATTTTATAACTTTAAACTGTTTTCAGCGTATTAACAGCCACTCTGCTAGCCACTTGCCCACAGGTGCCAGGTCATCAGTAGTGGTCCTAGACTTAAGGCTGGGTGACCGACCAGCTGCTGTTCCCACTGATGCCTTCAGGAGCTTCCTGTGTCTTCAGCTCATCCCTTATAGACATCTCTGAGTACAGCCGCTATCCTGTTCCTTTACACGTTGATTGAGCACCTTCTGTGTGCAAGGGATAGGTTCTAAAGATGAAGGCCGATGACCTCGCTCTCACCCTTTAAAAGTCCTAAGCCTTCTGATTGCGGGGGTTCTTATGAACTCTTGGTCCCAAGCAAGCCGATGGGCATTCCCTCCATG